ATTTCAAATGAGAATATCGAGGTCTTGATATTATAAATACAATTACTATTGATTATAGTGAATTCTCCTCATATGCATGTGATTTTTTCCTAGCTTGAGTTTTCAATAAATCTTAGTGTTCTTATTTAGTTCTTATTTATTTTATTATTATCATTATCTTGCAATCAATTCATAATAAGCGGTATTAGAGCAAGATTGATTATTTAGCATTACAACGATGAAATACGATATTCTATTATTGAATCGAAACTTGAGATTTACTTTATGGCAAGTGAAGAAGCGCGCAATCTTGCACAGATGGATTCGGAGAAAGCCTTGCTTGACTTTGATAAGATGTCTTCAACCTGGATGCAAAATGAAAAGCAACGTAGGGATCAGAAAACCCAATCTTAAATTCATTTACATCTATCAAATCTAATTATTCATGATGTTCTAAAGAAGAAAAGTTATGCCGTGTTGTGGTCCAAATTGGAGCAACTTTGTCTAACAAAGAGCTTGGCTAGCAATTTACACTTGAAACAATGCATGTATTCTCATCGGATGTCCAAAGGTATGCCATTGGATAATCATTTAACTGTGTTCAAAGAAATCATGGCCGATTTGGAGACATTGAAAATTAAGTATGATGAGAAGGACTTAACGTTGATGTTGTTGTATTTATTGCCACCATCATATGTGAATTTTTAGAGGTATTATTCTCTATAGTTCTCTTAATTAGCTCTAACTCCGGTTTAGTTTATTCAAATTTACTTTTTCTTAAGTCCATCATTCATAATTTTTTGCGTGCTTCAAAATGGGCCTAATATTGACAGGATATTTCTAGCTCATTCAAAAATTAACTATTTGGTCCAAAAAAATAGAAGTATAAAATCTAATACTTATTATTCTACTTTGGTCCATCAACTATTAAGGAGGAATAATATAAATCTAATTAATTATTTGGCATAACAAATTGACTTGCATAATGACTTAACGAGACATGACATTTCTATTAATTGACAATTAAATTGGATGTGATAATACTCATAAAATTTCGGGATTCTACAGTTTTTTGGTTTTGTATATATTTTATACGTATTATAAACGTCCAGTGTTCACAATGTAAGTGGTATTGTGAAAAAGTGCAAGTCAATTGATGTTTACTCTTTCATTAGTTTAGGCGTTTTATTTTTAAAAAAAAAGGTTGAACCCCAATCTTGAGGACCCCCATCGTCCCGCCCCTAGAGCTTTGTGAGGGAGGTAAATCGCGGGAGGTGCCCCAACAAGTCAAGGAACAAAAGCTGTCTTTATACTACGCCTACAAGGAGTCCAATTCCATATCTCAGGAATCGAACCTCCACACTGCGACTGCTAGAAAGCATGAGAGAACCTCACTCCTGTCCTTTGTACCACTGGATTATGCTCCAGGGGGCAGTTTAGGCGTTTTATTTATTTTTATTATAAGCACTGCATGTTGGATCATTAGTAACTCACATTGTGTCATGATTTTCCTATAAAATGTTGATGACAAGGGCAAAGTTTTTGAGAGTCTGGAAAAATATGAGTTTATTGTAAATGCTTACTACCAAGATGTAATTTCTCGACAGAATTTTTACCGACGTTGATATGGCCACAGATGATTGGATTGATTTCTCTTTTCTCTTTCTATCTTTTAATCAATTCTCACTATGTGTTATATGTCAAATTTTTTTGTACTTGTAGCATAATTGTTAGTGCCTATGCGTTGGACACTTTAGATGCACACTGTATTTTACGCATATGCATCGATGCGAGAAGATGAGGAAACTTAAAGTTTTGAAGAATGGAACCGTAGCTCGTGACATGGCAGCTAGTTCGTTCATTGAGTTGGCGCTTGCATGATAGTGACAGTTTTAGTTACAATTGTCGCGCAAGGTGTGAGCACGTCAAAATGTGTTATGACTGATGCGTATTCTATGTAGAGGTTGTACACGTGTCATCAACAATCTCAAAGGAGTACAATCCGAAGCACATAATCTAAAAATAGAGTGATATGAGGACTCATAGCAATCCAGATCAGAAGATGTACACATTCTCATGACACTAAGAACTCAATATAAAGGGAACCCTTATTCCATAATTAAGATACCGAATCATTAAAAGATTACATTGATTTCTAATTCTACCCTTTCTTCAAAATTTCTAGTCAAATTATTTTGTTGAAATAAAATTATTAAAATTATTTTTCAAAAATTTTATTTTATTTTTAGAGCAATTTAAGGTTCCTATTTTATACCGTTCAAGAAGTGTAATATCAATCAAGTTCAAGAAATGCAAATACTTATTCATATTATTGAGTTTGAGGCATAACATTGAGTAAATCTTTTTCAGATTGCTGCTATGGTTGAATGGCCACCTCCACTATGAAAAGATTTTAAAGACTATCTCAAGTGAACAAGGAGGTTACAATGGAGGTTTTGGTTATTCGATTTCATAATAAAGAAGACAACGTTGCGGGAAAAGAAATTATATGCGAAGCATAGAAGCAAATACTAATACGATTGAAGACTCCAAGTCTGGGGGGGCGGAGAGGAAGCATCGTTGTTTGTCTAAAGACAAAGAAAATGTTCACGAAATATTGATTTCGATTTAAACCCGCAAGTGTACAGTTCACGACAAGTAATAAAGTGGAAAAATAGAGTCTGAATGTCGTCCTAGAGAGATTGACTAGTTTAATTCTATCTAACTCAACCTTAACTGAAACCCAATAATTCAACAAGAGAATTATGAATTGATTAACCCTGACCTAGACTAAATTTGCAATGGTGTATGACTTAGATGAACCATAATGCAATGTGACATTTTGAATGCAAGATTGATGTAATCAATAAAGATGAAGTGCACTAGGATCATGAATCCTCGAGTATTGTTCACTTTTAACCCTAGTTTCATAAATTGACAATACGTTGAATTTTTGAAGAATCAATGCTCCTAAATTTATCCAATAGTCTCTCTTAAGTAAAGTTGAACTTATTCTCGTAGACCATCAGTCTATATCTCTATGACGGGTGCAAATGTACAAGAATGCATGTGATATTGTGAGCATTTATAGATTCACGAAAGGCATAACGGTATATCACTATCCCCTATTAGACCTTACGATGATTTACCTTGTCGAACTTATTCCCCTTCTCTCAAATGCATGATATAATTCACCACACTAACATAATTACGTGTACTTATGGAAGACATTAATTGTATATACATCATTCACCAATTGCAGAACGTGTTTTGTGTCAAAATTTCAAAAATAAAAATTAAAAAGTTACATCACAAGGTTCATAGATCTCCTAGTACTACATATAAACTTAGCCTAGCATGGATAAAATAATAAAATACACTATAACTCTAAGAAACAACATCACCGATGTAGGTATAGGCATGTATTCTCGTTGATCTTCGTGTTTCTCTTCATGATTGTGGAGTAGAACCTCCTCCAGTATGTGTTTTCTTCTCTCCCCAGCGTTCTCTCCTTTAATTGATAGCTTTAGGGTTTTTATATACCTCCCACGACTTGTATCTATAAGAGTTTCAGCCGAAGAAGGAAACTGAAAATTTCGCGTCTAGACATAATCATGCGACCACAGGGTTCATTGGATTGGCCCTCTTGGAAGTGCTGCCTACCACCATGCGACCCAACCGCATGGTGGTCCTTTCTTTCCCAAATGTGCAAATTAAGCCCTTGATTTCCATTTTTTTCCGTCATGACTTCTTTGCTCATTCTTTCTTCTCCCACTACTTCAATTTTTCGACAAGTTGGTCCTTAAGTCTTTCACATCTTCATTTGTGCCTTCGACTCATCTTTTGGCTATTTACATGTCGGTCCCTAAACTTTCATTCTTCTCCATCTTGGTCCATTTTTTGCAATTTCTTTCTTCTAATGAGTCATACTGCCACCGAATTTGTACTTAGCTCATTTGTATTATTGATTCATCCTCCATGTCATCTTTTGGAAATTTGCACTTTTGGTCCCTGAACTTTCATTTCCTTTCGTTTTCGCATCTTTTCTATTAAGTCTCATCATGTCCATCAATATGGTCCTACAAAATAAAATTTCATAGAATTAAGTCATATTCAACAAATTTTATCAACGATTAGTCAAGTTTTATGGATCGAATAAGTGTGTAAAAACGCACTTATCAAAAAAGAAAATATTGCAGAATGGTTGAAGAGGAGACTGTTATAATTGTTTTGAAGCCAAGATATCGAACTAAAGATTGTTTAAGAAAATGGATGCACAAAATAAAAAACCTCCCTAGTTTATCATAAGTAGACAACATGTCCATAGATATTGTAGATATCAACTTGTTTTCAAATGCTAAAGATTGGTTGGTGGATAGGTGAGCAACTCATCACATTTGTGTGGATAAGGATTTATTCGTCGAATGCAAGATGATGAATCATGACAAACATCTCTATATCAAAACATTGTATCATTAAAAATCGAACGAATTGGGAAGCATTTTGAAATTCAATTCTAGAAAAGAAATGATGTTGAAAAGTGTTGTAAATGTCCTAAATATTAGGAAGAATCTGATTTTCGGTTCTATACTTAGTAAAAAGTGATTCAAAATGGTTTTTGAGTTTAGTAAGTTTATATTTATTAAAGGGGACATTTATTTTGGGGAGGGTATTTAGTTGATGGTCTTTTTAAAAAGTCCACATATTTGTATGCACAAGTTATTAAAATTGATTTTTTTTTTTTTTTTACTTATAAAAGTGGTCAGCATGGAGTAAGGCGGGAGATATGGAAAGTTGCGTGCTACATAGATTCACATTGTCTCTCTTACACTATATATATAATATAATAATATTAAAATTCATATCTTTTATAATCTAAAGTTTATTTGAAATTTATTTATTTTAATAAGAAAAATGTGATATGAGTAGTAAAAATTTGTGGATAAACATTTAAGGAGGGAATTTCTCGAATTCTATAAAATATAGTTGTGTCATGGTGCACCATAAATTTTGATGTTTCAACATGATGAGATTTTTCATATTGGTCAAATGTTTTATATTTTTTCCTTATCTTGATCTCCTGTCTTTTCCTTAGTGATATGAGCTCTTTCATTGTTAAACATGTGACTTTGGTGAGCAAAAAGATCATTGATTTTCATAGAAAATCATTTATATTTTTTTAAGTTTCTCATTCAAATGCCAGATCGAAAATTTTAAAAGCTTATACAAAACCCTTTTTGGTCTTGCATTCTTTGTAAAAATTCACTGTATTCTTCGGAAGATTAAGATTTGTAGCTTTGAAGAAAGTTCAACAGCTTCAAATCAAAAAGGTGAGTCATGCTTGTTGAACCAATCCAAGAAGTGGTTATACACAATATTGTCAATGTTTAAGAGAGTGTCCTTCTTTGTCTAAGTACAAATGTTTCTGAAATCTTTTGACTTGGTAGATTATTCAATAGTTGAATATGGCCCTGCGGATATGGGCAGTTGCCAATCTACATCAATCGTATTATTTACACTTTTTGCTTATGAATCTAGCATTAATTAGTTTCAGTATAATTGCAAAAAGGGTCTAAAACTTGGTACGAGAGCAAATTTTGGACATCTATTTAGTCATATTATTGGGTTTAATCAATTTGTTTTAACAGGCATGCATTCTACAAGAACAGGGATCATTTACGTGTCCCGCTACTAGATGGGCCGAACTATGGTGTTATAGTTTGACCCAAAATTTTAATGGATTCTAGAATTTTGGTTGAAATGGTTCTGAAGAAATCAAAATTATGGATCAGGAAGAAAAATTGTCGCATTTTCGTTAGCCTACTAGCTGACCGCTCGAGCGATGCCTGCATATTTTCTACCGAGACTTGTCACTCGCCTGGCACTCAAGCAGTGGAACTATCGCCCAACTACCACTAGCCTATCGCTTAAGCGATAGGGTTATCCAGTCAAGCCCATTTCACCTTTTGATGAGTTTTTTGGAATCATATTCTTTCATCTACAACTTGATTTCTAGAAATTATATATACAAGTCATAGCCTGTATTGTTTCGAGAACATTCAGGAAGCTTAAATTTCAAATGAGAATATCGAGGTCTTGATATTATAAATACAATTACTATTGATTATAGTGAATTCTCCTCATATGCATGTGATTTTTTCCTAGCTTGAGTTTTCAATAAATCTTAGTGTTCTTATTTAGTTCTTATTTATTTTATTATTATCATTATCTTGCAATCAATTCATAATAAGCGGTATTAGAGCAAGATTGATTATTTAGCATTACAACGATGAAATACGATATTCTATTATTGAATCGAAACTTGAGATTTACTTTATGGCAAGTGAAGAAGCGCGCAATCTTGCACAGATGGATTCGGAGAAAGCCTTGCTTGACTTTGATAAGATGTCTTCAACCTGGATGCAAAATGAAAAGCAACGTAGGGATCAGAAAACCCAATCTTAAATTCATTTACATCTATCAAATCTAATTATTCATGATGTTCTAAAGAAGAAAAGTTATGCCGTGTTGTGGTCCAAATTGGAGCAACTTTGTCTAACAAAGAGCTTGGCTAGCAATTTACACTTGAAACAATGCATGTATTCTCATCGGATGTCCAAAGGTATGCCATTGGATAATCATTTAACTGTGTTCAAAGAAATCATGGCCGATTTGGAGACATTGAAAATTAAGTATGATGAGAAGGACTTAACGTTGATGTTGTTGTATTTATTGCCACCATCATATGTGAATTTTTAGAGGTATTATTCTCTATAGTTCTCTTAATTAGCTCTAACTCCGGTTTAGTTTATTCAAATTTACTTTTTCTTAAGTCCATCATTCATAATTTTTTGCGTGCTTCAAAATGGGCCTAATATTGACAGGATATTTCTAGCTCATTCAAAAATTAACTATTTGGTCCAAAAAAATAGAAGTATAAAATCTAATACTTATTATTCTACTTTGGTCCATCAACTATTAAGGAGGAATAATATAAATCTAATTAATTATTTGGCATAACAAATTGACTTGCATAATGACTTAACGAGACATGACATTTCTATTAATTGACAATTAAATTGGATGTGATAATACTCATAAAATTTTGGGATTCTACAGTTTTTTGGTTTTGTATATATTTTATACGTATTATAAACGTCCAGTGTTCACAATGTAAGTGGTATTGTGAAAAAGTGCAAGTCAATTGATGTTTACTCTTTCATTAGTTTAGGCGTTTTATTTTTAAAAAAAAAGGTTGAACCCCAATCTTGAGGACCCCCATCGTCCCGCCCCTAGAGCTTTGTGAGGGAGGTAAATCGCGGGAGGTGCCCCAACAAGTCAAGGAACAAAAGCTGTCTTTATACTACGCCTACAAGGAGTCCAATTCCATATCTCAGGAATCGAACCTCCACACTGCGACTGCTAGAAAGCATGAGAGAACCTCACTCCTGTCCTTTGTACCACTGGATTATGCTCCAGGGGGCAGTTTAGGCGTTTTATTTATTTTTATTATAAGCACTGCATGTTGGATCATTAGTAACTCACATTGTGTCATGTTTTTCCTATAAAATGTTGATGACAAGGGCAAAGTTTTTGAGAGTCTGGAAAAATATGAGTTTATTGTAAATGCTTACTACCAAGATGTAATTTCTCGACAGAATTTTTACCGACGTTGATATGGCCACAGATGATTGGATTGATTTCTCTTTTCTCTTTCTATCTTTTAATCAATTCTCACTATGTGTTATATGTCAAATTTTTTTGTACTTGTAGCATAATTGTTAGTGCCTATGCGTTGGACACTTTAGATGCACACTGTATTTTACGCATATGCATCGATGCGAGAAGATGAGGAAACTTAAAGTTTTGAAGAATGGAACCGTAGCTCGTGACATGGCAGCTAGTTCGTTCATTGAGTTGGCGCTTGCATGATAGTGACAGTTTTAGTTACAATTGTCGCGCAAGGTGTGAGCACGTCAAAATGTGTTATGACTGATGCGTATTCTATGTAGAGGTTGTACACGTGTCATCAACAATCTCAAAGGAGTACAATCCGAAGCACATAATCTAAAAATAGAGTGATATGAGGACTCATAGCAATCCAGATCAGAAGATGTACACATTCTCATGACACTAAGAACTCAATATAAAGGGAACCCTTATTCCATAATTAAGATACCGAATCATTAAAAGATTACATTGATTTCTAATTCTACCCTTTCTTCAAAATTTCTAGTCAAATTATTTTGTTGAAATAAAATTATTAAAATTATTTTTCAAAAATTTTATTTTATTTTTAGAGCAATTTAAGGTTCCTATTTTATACCGTTCAAGAAGTGTAATATCAATCAAGTTCAAGAAATGCAAATACTTATTCATATTATTGAGTTTGAGGCATAACATTGAGTAAATCTTTTTCAGATTGCTGCTATGGTTGAATGGCCACCTCCACTATGAAAAGATTTTAAAGACTATCTCAAGTGAACAAGGAGGTTACAATGGAGGTTTTGGTTATTCGATTTCATAATAAAGAAGACAACGTTGCGGGAAAAGAAATTATATGCGAAGCATAGAAGCAAATACTAATACGATTGAAGACTCCAAGTCTGGGGGGGCGGAGAGGAAGCATCGTTGTTTGTCTAAAGACAAAGAAAATGTTCACGAAATATTGATTTCGATTTAAACCCGCAAGTGTACAGTTCACGACAAGTAATAAAGTGGAAAAATAGAGTCTGAATGTCGTCCTAGAGAGATTGACTAGTTTAATTCTATCTAACTCAACCTTAACTGAAACCCAATAATTCAACAAGAGAATTATGAATTGATTAACCCTGACCTAGACTAAATTTGCAATGGTGTATGACTTAGATGAACCATAATGCAATGTGACGTTTTGAATGCAAGATTGATGTAATCAATAAAGATGAAGTGCACTAGGATCATGAATCCTCGAGTATTGTTCACTTTTAACCCTAGTTTCATAAATTGACAATACGTTGAATTTTTGAAGAATCAATGCTCCTAAATTTATCCAATAGTCTCTCTTAAGTAAAGTTGAACTTATTCTCGTAGACCATCAGTCTATATCTCTATGACGGGTGCAAATGTACAAGAATGCATGTGATATTGTGAGCATTTATAGATTCACGAAAGGCATAACGGTATATCACTATCCCCTATTAGACCTTACGATGATTTACCTTGTCGAACTTATTCCCCTTCTCTCAAATGCATGATATAATTCACCACACTCACATAATTACGTGTACTTATGGAAGACATTAATTGTATATACATCATTCACCAATTGCAGAACGTGTTTTGTGTCAAAATTTCAAAAATAAAAATTAAAAAGTTACATCACAAGGTTCATAGATCTCCTAGTACTACATATAAACTTAGCCTAGCATGGATAAAATAATAAAATACACTATAACTCTAAGAAACAACATCACCGATGTAGGTATAGGCATGTATTCTCGTTGATCTTCGTGTTTCTCTTCATGATTGTGGAGTAGAACCTCCTCCAGTATGTGTTTTCTTCTCTCCCCAGCGTTCTCTCCTTTAATTGATAGCTTTAGGGTTTTTATATACCTCCCACGACTTGTATCTATAAGAGTTTCAGCCGAAGAAGGAAATTGAAAATTTCGCGTCTAGACATAATCATGCGACCACAGGGTTCATTGGATTGGCCCTCTTGGAAGTGCTGCCTACCACCATGCGACCCAACCGCATGGTGGTCCTTTCTTTCCCAAATGTGCAAATTAAGCCCTTGATTTCCATTTTTTTCCGTCATGACTTCTTTGCTCATTCTTTCTTCTCCCACTACTTCAATTTTTCGACAAGTTGGTCCTTAAGTCTTTCACATCTTCATTTGTGCCTTCGACTCATCTTTTGGCTATTTACATGTCGGTCCCTAAACTTTCATTCTTCTCCATCTTGGTCCATTTTTTGCAATTTCTTTCTTCTAATGAGTCATACTGCCACCGAATTTGTACTTAGCTCATTTGTATTATTGATTCATCCTCCATGTCATCTTTTGGAAATTTGCACTTTTGGTCCCTGAACTTTCATTTCCTTTCGTTTTCGCATCTTTTCTATTAAGTCTCATCATGTCCATCAATATGGTCCTACAAAATAAAATTTCATAGAATTAAGTCATATTCAACAAATTTTATCAACGATTAGTCAAGTTTTATGGATCGAATAAGTGTGTAAAAACGCACTTATCAAAAAAGAAAATATTGCAGAATGGTTGAAGAGGAGACTGTTATAATTGTTTTGAAGCCAAGATATCGAACTAAAGATTGTTTAAGAAAATGGATGCACAAAATAAAAAACCTCCCTAGTTTATCATAAGTAGACAACATGTCCATAGATATTGTAGATATCAACTTGTTTTCAAATGCTAAAGATTGGTTGGTGGATAGGTGAGCAACTCATCACATTTGTGTGGATAAGGATTTATTCGTCGAATGCAAGATGATGAATCATGACAAACATCTCTATATCAAAACATTGTATCATTAAAAATCGAACGAATTGGGAAGCATTTTGAAATTCAATTCTAGAAAAGAAATGATGTTGAAAAGTGTTGTAAATGTCCTAAATATTAGGAAGAATCTGATTTTCGGTTCTATACTTAGTAAAAAGTGATTCAAAATGGTTTTTGAGTTTAGTAAGTTTATATTTATTAAAGGGGACATTTATTTTGGGGAGGGTATTTAGTTGATGGTCTTTTTAAAAAGTCCACATATTTGTATGCACAAGTTATTAAAATTGATTTTTTTTTTTTTTTTTTACTTGCTTAAGTCTTCCTTTTTATGGCATATTAGATTATGAGATGTTAATCGTGCTTCTTTAAGAAAATTGGTATGTTTAGGAGTTATACCTAACTTGAATCAAAAGATTAACATCAATGTGAAACTTGCGTTGAAGCAAAGTCAGCTAAAAATCTTTTCAATTTAATTGAAAGAAGTAGTGAGCAGTTAGGGTTGATACATTGTGATATATGCAATTTAAAATTCATTCAATCTCGAGATGATGAAAAATATTTTCTCGCATTTATAGATGATCTGGTAAAAATTGCCATATTTACTTGTTATGTAGCGAAGACGAGATATTGGATGTACTTGTTACATACAAAAATGAAGTTGAAAACTAATTTGGCAAGACGATCGAGGTATTAAGATCCAA